CCCCCCCGCCCCCCCCCCAAATCCCGCCTGTCAAATGACCTCGCTACCGCAACCCACTCGGCCACCGCCGGAACGGCATCACCATCTTGGGCAACTGTTCAGCCTCAAACCCCCCTAAACAACGGGTGGTCACGGAATGAAAACAAACAACTCAGTTGCATTTTCCACGCCCTGACTTGAACATCTCACCGTCAAAAGCAAAAAGCATGTAACTAATCAAGTAATCGTTACCTATTCCTGGGTCATTCATCCGGTCTTACCTCTCACAACATCTCATATCCATGCACGCCAATGTTGATGTTGAATGGTTTCGTGATCCATACTTCTCCCACAGCACACAACCACCAGTCAAAGTCATCCCCGATCCTGGTGATCTGATCAATTTAATCAAAGCGGCTTGTCCCGATATCATTATTTCATCATCCGTCTCGTGCCCGTCAAAGACTTTCCTCAGTCTGGCCCTGGTATACCACTCAAATGCCTCCCCCGGCCTCTGAATTCAACAAGAATAGCAAAACAAAATCGTAAGACAAAAATAAACGAAATCAACGCTCCAGCAAAAGGAGACCCATGACTGATGATTAATATCCCATCTCCAACTCCCATATCAAAACTTCCCAACTCGATGCCCACACGATAACAACGCAGCCGAAGTATTAGTAAATAACTGTATCCTCCGCATCCTGCACCATCACCTCGTCGTGATGCTGATCCGAGCTTCGTCGCTTCTGTTCACTGTCCTTCTCCTTCTCTTGAACCTGTTCGTTCTTCTTGGGCTGGTGGTCATCCACCTCCATCTGGGTATCTTTTGGCAGGCTGTCCTGCTGATGACGGCCATCATCGGCGCTATCGTTTTCGGAAATCGGTGCTGGTTCCCGTGGTCTGTCTCTTTCCCGACGGCCGTCTTCCTTTCTGGTATGTGCTGGTTCCCGTGGTCTGTCTCTTTCCCGACGGCCGTCTTCCTTTCTGGTATGTGCTGGTTCTCGACGATGATCATCCTCCCTAGGACGTACAAGTGCCGGCACCGGAGCCCCCAACTCACGATACCTCCTCTCCTTCTCCCTCTTCCACACCGCCAACTCCCTATCTATCCTGTCTTCCGCATCACGGACCTGATCGCTAACCGTCCGTGATTGTTCCCGCGTTAGTTCCCAAGGGCGGTAGAGCTGCAAAAAATGTTAGCTTTATGTACCCCATCTCACCTCACAACCAAAGGTTGAAAAACTCACAATCCTCGGATAACTCCTCGTCATCAAACACCTCGCCTTCTCCATCCTATCCTCATGCCTCGCATGCATACTCTCATGTGTGTACAAC